TGCGATCCCGAACCTGTACTGCTGAGTAAAGCGTTAACGCGCCAAGGCCGGCTGATGGCCATCGGTGGGAGCTGGTAGGTGCCTGTGCCGACCCCCTGGCAGCATAGCAGGAAACGACTTCCCAAGCAACTTCATCTGTTGGAGGAAAGCACTCCCCGATTTTAAATTGAGAGCAGCCACGTGGGTCCAGGTTTGGGGACATCTGCTTGGAAACATTCGCAGCAACACCCTGCAACACCCACCAAACACAAATTCAACATCGAAGTACTTCGGTTCTCTTGCACAGCCATGGCATACTGGAGCCAACAAGTCCACGCAGCGGCAAAGGGAGCCTGGCAGCTAAGCTCCACTTTCTCCAGAGTCGTCAGGTTCCGCGCGTAGGCAAACTTCAAGGTTGCTCCGTCCTGGGCACGCCGGTGTGAACCTTGCTCCCATCGGGCCCTTTGTGAATCATGGGCGACTGCTACTGCTCAACTGAGTGTTCCCAGCTCACCTCTGCGATAAGGGTGCATGTAGTTTGGAGAACAACAACGAAGCTGTATTCCAGCATGTTGGTAACAAGAGAAGTTTTAGGTTGCTACAATAATATGGTGTGCTAAAGGAGAGGTGATCACATGAACTATGATGCAACTTCCAATGCACCTCACGCCCGGTCCTGGATGCCACACTGCGCGAGCTGCTTCCTCAAGCGAGTATTAAGCTAATCTGCCCCTCCAAACTCAACACTGTGAACATCCAACCCTCAGCCAAAAGCAGCCTAGTATCTGCCCCTCCCTAGGCTCTAGACCCTAATACCCCGTCCTGTTCTCGAAGTAGTCCTTGGAACCTTTCTCGGACAGCAGGGCTTCATTCGCCCAGTCCTGAGCTTCTTGCTTCGCTACCAAAGTTAAGAGCCCAACATAGTGGCGCTGGCAGCAGTAGCAGTAGCAGTGGGAGTGCGGGGAGGAGCTTGAATCAGCAGTGACACTTTCTAGCATGCTGAAAACATGATTGCATCAAACTACAGAGTGTTGCTTGGGTCTGGTGGAGGTCCGAGAAGATGTAAGGAAGGAGCGAGAGCACAGTGATAGCAGCTTGCATAAACTATGCTTTCCGGTCCCTTGGGCAGGCTTCCCAGCTTTCTTAGGGTCGTGGGCCTTGGTGCCCTGAGCTTTGAAGGTGCTGCAGCTTCCACCAGAGACTTGCCAAGTCCACGGGAGACGATGACACGAAACCGATGCACGTACTTGCAGACACCTTGCTCTCGCCTGCAGATTTCATGAACATACAAAACGATGCAGGAACCCTCCCCATGCACACTTCATGAAAACACTCAATCATCAGCAAGGGCCAAGGGCGGGAGTATGTCGGGACGGCCCACTTAGACCTCGCTTACAATCTCTCTAAGGCCTCCGACATCGAGCGCCCACACCCACACACCCTCATGAGCCCCAACTCCAATCAAGGGGATGCACCGGCGGCGCGTGCAGCGCAATAATCTTCTGCTTGACCGCCTTCGGGTCTTGAGGCATGGTGGTTGGCCGAACTTGGTTGGATATCTTGTGGAGAAACCAGGCACGGGAAGATGGCAGAATACTAGCCAATGCTAAAACTCGGAAGTGGCAGGCTCTTTGATAATCTAGCTCTGCTGCCTGTCGGAGTGCGAGTCGCCGGCCACAGAGTTCCAAGAGTAAAGGGCGAATATGCAAGAATGCAACGAAGGTGCCTATTGCGACAGCCCCAATTGTGCTGCGATGGAGGCCAGACAGACAGACAGACAAAGAGAGAGAGAGAGAGAGAGAATGAAGGACAAAGAATCGCCTGCACTGACTGTCGAACCTAGGAGCCGAAGAAACACCGGAAACTGAGTAGGCTCCGTATGTGTCAAGAGCCCAGCCGAGTGATTGGGCAGAGCCCTACACGTCCAGAACACTTCCATTGCAGGCCCACCGCAACCTAACATTTTGTCTTAACAAGCACTCAGACATACATATAAATATATATATATATGTATATATATATACACATACATATACATATGTATACGTATGTATACATATATATATATATATGTATATATATATGTATATATATATATGTATATACATATATCTGTGTATATATATATATATAGATATATTTGCATGTGTATATATATATATATATATATATACAAGTGCACATGTATGCATCGATGGATGTATGTGTATATATATATATATATATATATGTAGATAGACATGTTACATATGGATAACAACATATACATCTATACATATATACATATATATACACATATGCATATATACACACATACTATCTATATATATATATATATATATATGTAGATATATGTATATATATATACATATATATCTATATAGTTATATATATACACACACATACCTGAATTAGCTTAGGCTTGAAGCAGCTTACAGCCGAATATTCAGCTGCTGGGAATAATCAGGTGGCATTCAGAGCCCTGTGCGCTAATTCAGGTTCAGCTACAGGCTCAGCCCACGACGACTTAGAACCGCGAGTCGCTCTCGATTCGGGCTGTGTCTGAGACCAACCTCGGCCTGATCCTGATACAAACATCCTTTGTTGCACGCAGCCGTGAATCCTAAATGGAAGAAATGCCCCTAATTTTCTGAAACCGCCACGATTTTGAGGATCTCAAGGCTAGAGCCCATGTCGGCCTTCACGGTATCCGTCGGCTGGACGCTGAGCGAGGCAAACTTGCCTTTCTCCGCTCAAGCTCAAGGGATCTTAGAGGTTTCGGTGCCTCTGAGTCGATGCTTCTTCGGGACGATTCGGGGCTTCTGCCAAGGGGTCGGAGCTGCCGGACTGGGAGATATTGCGTACCGAATTATTGCGGCTGGTTTTGAATCAACCCAACACTCCATACTGTGAACCACCAGATGAATAAGAGCTACTGTTGCCGGTCTTGGGTTTCTGGCAGTGGGGTATGTACTGGGATATAATCTGAGGTACAGTGGTGTGGAGGCTCGGCAGTTAGCCTTCGGCAAGCAGAATGCTATCTTGTCGGAGGGGGGCACACGCGAAAAAGGTTCAAGGACCCCGACACTTGTGCCCGTCTTGCGCCTGCATCTGCACTGTAGTAGACCTTGATCTGCATGATGTCGCGTTGAAATGCGCAGTGGCCTGTTCGATTATGCAAAGGGTATCGCCGACATTGACAGAATCAGAACTGTCCGTGTTCGTGTTGCGATGCAGTGAACCGCTAGAGTTTTTAGCTATGGCTAGTAAAATGAATGCTGCTGATCCCATTGGTGGCTCTTGCTCTTCTTGTTCTGATGTTGTTGTTGGTGCTGCACCAGCACTCGTGTTCCCGGTCGTGGTGTTGCCATTCATCTTGGCTTGCGATTTCGCTGTTTCTTCTTGACACTGTGTTCAAGGCCCAGGCTGTTCATACTGTACTGCTCACTAGGATCACTAGCAGTCACTAGCATCTGTGACCACTGCCCTTCTAAAGCCAAGAGCTGACCTGTGCCGTCTACGGCAAACCGAACCTGATTGATGATAAAGATTTATCACTTAAGGCTTGTTCCTGGAGTTCCTCAACCCGCCTCCTCCACCCCAAGAGCCCATTCGCCGTCACTTCCCGCGCCTTGACCCGCAGCAGATGGCGGGGGCGTCCCGCAGTGTGACTCCCCAACGGAGAGTTCCAGAAGTCTGAGCCGAGCCGATATGTCGGCAAGCGCACCGTGAGAAGCTGGACCCTGTTCAGAAGGTTGACAACGCGGCGTTTGTTCCCCAACAGGCCGATGCAGCCACAAGTATCCTCTGCACTCCTAATCCCCAGAACTTGGCGGAAAGACAACCCGGTACAATCTTGAAATCCCCGAAGTGCGAAGTCCCAAATGTCCGTACCGGTTCAACTGCTAGGCCAAGCACATGTGGCGCAAAAAGCCTAGACGCCTCCCAGTTGGCAAAACTGAGCCTGCCCTTGACAGCAACGATCCTTTTGCAGTCGGTCGCATCTAGGGCTCTGCTCTGCTGCCTCACTTCTCATCCTGTCTTCGGAAATCGAGGGCTGACAGACTCGCAGCAAAAAGCAACACCGCATCTGCAAACCAAATCTGACAAGTTCCAGTCCATGACTGGGAACCAGACATCACACCGTCTAGCACCAACCATCCCAACTGTCTTCAGGTCCCCTGAGAATCACTGTTGCTAATTCTGTACCAGGATGCCAGTAGCAGAGATCCTCTGTTGATTTGGAGACTCGCAACGGCCAGGAATTCAGCAACTGTGTCCATCAACCTTCCTTCCCTGGCCTTTGATCCCAGAGAACAACATGTCTCGAGCTTTGCCCTCCCGCCCGTCCTTCTTGATCAGGTAGGTGAGGTGGCACTTGCCACCTCAGCAGCAGACGCTGGAACGAGGACGCCGCGAAGAAACATTTGAGAAAAGCACTGTTCAAACCCCACGCCCGAAGCCCTAAACCGGGTTACATGGTTTTCGCTGTTTCTGCTCTTGCCACCGCAGAAGGACAGTGTACTGAGGCCCGGCCGAGCACTGCCTGAGGCTTTGGCAGTAGTAGCGGTTGAAGTGCATGGCCATGAACACCTGAGACTCACTCCCTGTCTCGCACGCAGAAGGTAGCTGATATCTGTGCGCTTGTCTAGGGCCCAGGGTTTGGTGTCGTCACATAGTTCAGGCCTGCCCGATGTAGCTCTTAACAATTCTGAACATCGGTGTGAAGGCCGCCTGCATCCACAGACATACCGAGGCATGGACGCCTGGCCCGCACGTTTCGTGAGGGCACTCGCGGCGAAGACGGGTCACCTAGCAGATGACTGCATTGCAAGCGCAGATTCTGGACCGCACGTACTGTCATCGACCTTGAGGGCTCTTTTGACTCCTGCCTTCATGGCTTCGTGCAAGCCGATGCTGCAGAGGCACATTCGCTGTGGCTCGGGGAGAAGATGGGCTCTGACAAGCCCGGGAAAAGGACTTCATGACGAACATGTCCTGGCTACATCCGCGAGGCATGGTCAGGTGCCCACCTTGTCGTTGGAATCAACCTTGTAGAACTTCAGCACTGCAAGCTTCACCTGCAGCTCGATTGCGGAACGGTTCGGCGATGTTCGACGCTTAAGGCATCATGCTTACTGAATAAAGGCTCCATGCTCGAAGTCCGCTCAACAAGCCACACCTTCCAACTCGCTTCGCACCTTCTTCCTCTTGTGCTTGATCTTCTTTGGCTTGGTGTAGGTCTTCTTCTTGCGCCTTATGGACATCAAGCATGCCTCCGGTGCCCGATGCCAAGGCTAGTCCGGGGAGCTTTTCACCCACAAAACCCACGTGAATCCCGATGATGTTGCTGCCCAAGTAGCTTCTTGCCACCGCCACCTGAGTCAAGAGGCGTCAATCGCAGTCTTTCCGGCTACTAGTACCCTCTTGTTTGACTCCCCTCTGAAAAAAACTGACCGCCACAGAAGCAGATGCCCATGCCGAGTCACTGAGCTCTGCAGATAGAAAGATCGTGGACTCCTCCTCCACGCCGCCTGCAGCAGGAACACACGGCGCTTGACCCATCGCTTGCAGCAGGCTGTTGTTGCAGATATCTGGGAACAAGAATCTGAGGTGGCCGCACTCACCAAGCAACTCCTCATCCCGGAGTGATCGTCCACCAAAAAGGAGGCATTGCCTGGCTTTGGGAGGCTGCAAGATGCCTCAAGCCACGGAGGCAATCCAGCTTCGCCCTATTATCTCAGCCTCGCAACCTCCAGCTGCATGTTAGTTGCCTTGTTTTCCATTGCATTTCGGCTCGGTATTGGATTTTGCGCAGTAAGTTTGCTGCCTACCTCCCTGTCTTCGGACTCCGGATATGTATCATGTACTGGGCTCAGACCTCGGTGGACAGATGTCACTGATGCCTGAAGACTCAAAAACTCCAAGATCTCCAAGTCTACAATTATGCGACAGCATATCCAACAGACTATAGAGAGAGGGAGATCATGCAAACTTGAGAGCTGGTCACGAAAGCTAGAAGCACGAGGTCCGGTGCTGAGCTCTGCAAAGCGATGTGCACGACAGTAGCGGAGGGAAAGTTTGGGCCGGTGAAGGGTGCAGGCGTTGCTCGTTCATTTAACTCTTGAGAAAGTAATGTGCGAACGACAACTAGAGGTAACTCTGGAGAGAAGACCGCACTTCAGTCGCCGAACGTCAGACACAAACAAAACCAAGGGACCTTGAGGAGGGGGGGGGGGAGGGGGGACCTCATGATGGGGGGGGGCCCCCCCCCCCCACCTTATCCCAGGCACAACCACCTTAAAGGAGGGGGGGGAGGGGACCTTATCAGTGGAAAACGCATAATGACAAGGTGAAGGGGGGGGCCCCCCCCCTACCCCCCACCTTAACTCTTGGACGTCCCACCTGATAAGGTGCAAACCCTGTTTTTTCCCTAGTGCCTTAATACAAGTGAATTGCTAAAGGGCAACTCCCGCGAGCTCCACAGAGCTAGCTTTCGTGACATATCCGAAATACTTGAGAACCTACCAACTGGCAGCCGCGAGAATCCGGAGTATTCCCACAACACGGTAGGTTTGAAGCGCTTGAACTTCTTGAGGCTGCTGCTCGGTGCTGGCACAGCACTGGACACCAGCGAGGCGTTCCTGGTTGAGCTGCTCTAGCACGAGCTGATCAGCTTGCCTATCTTAAGCTGGCTTGGGGCTTGCGTCTAGCCACCAGCTGAAAAGGCTGGTAGACGGATCTAGCTGGCCCATGCAAGGCTTCTGGGGATTTCCGACTCACCATGCAAGCTGTGACAGTCATGCCTGTCAGGGCAGCATCAAAGGGTGCATGCATAAGCGGGCTGTTCAGTTCTCTGACGTTCTCTGAAGCCTGCTGCCGATTGCCGCACGACAGTTCCGGTCCCCCGCTGCTCCTTCAAGTTTGCAATGCTCTCTGTTGGCGCCGGCTCGACGCAGTGCGTCGTGCCCGCGACATCGCGGACGAAGAGCCGCATGGCCTCAGAAAGCCACTGCCTTGCAATCTCGCAGCCTCCTTCTAATTCCGATGGTAGGCCTAGGCCCCTGGCGACAACCGCGACGCCAGTTTTCGGCCCAGCTCTATGGCTGATAGCCAATGGCCGCCAGAGCGATGTTCGAAAGGATCTCTGAGCAGCGCACTCGGCAAGCCCACTTCGCACTCAGCGCAGAGGATAGAATGGCTGAAGACGACAGTCTCTTTTGTCCATGCGCTGCAGATCGCGTGCCGCTCGGCCGCTTCACTTGTCCTCCTGGGCCGTCATATCCAGCTGAGCAAGCATGAAGGAGTGCGAGGGTACAGGTTCATAGGGCAAGTGCCTGGGTCTGACGGATTTTCTGGGCTACTCGGCAAGCAGCTGTGGACCCACGACTCATAACCAGATCCAACACATCTCTTAAGTTTGGATGCCACGGCTTTACAAGGCCAAAGCTGCTGGAGGCCTAAAGCCGAAACGAAACTGACCTCCAATCTGCAAAGCTTGAACAGCTCCTCAGCTGTTATCATCGGACGTTCAAACTTCAAACTCCTGTGAATGCAGCTATAGCTGCTCTCCGGTAGAAAGTTTAGTCAGACCATCCAAAGAAAAGCGGAAGGTAGAGTCGCCCCGCAGTCCTTCTTGATCAAGTACGTCAAGTGGCACTTGCCGCCTGAAGGAGGCTGCACGAAATACGAAGGAAAGTCTTCCACAGAGGCTTGGAGATCAGGCAAGTGCTACTCGAGCAAACAGATGCATAAACAGATCGTAAACAGTATAGACAGCTAGGTTCGCACCTCAGCCTATTCGCTCAAGACTCCTCCCAGATGCACCATGCATGGCAGAGCTAGGACAGTTGGTGACGAGCTGTGTTTGCATGCAATGCACATGCCAAAGTACTGACACAGAGCCTGGGAAGCGCTTACATGTTCGTTCTCTCGCTGATTGAGACAGGGAAGAACTGAGAATGCCTCGCGATACTGCTGTGACAGATAGCCTGGTGTCAATCGTGATTCTGAAGCCCTGAGGCTTTGACAGTAGTAGCGGTTGAAGTGCATGGCCATGAAAACCTGAGAGTCACGACGCTGATGTCTCGCTTGCTCCAAAGCTCCACGACAAAGGGTAAAATTACAGGACACCATGTCACGCAGGCCCCGTTTTCTTTGAAAGCGCAACTCCTTCCTGCACCCCGGACATGCCAAGGCATGGACGCCAGGCCCGCACGTTTCGTGAGGGCACTCGCGGCGAAGACGGGTCACCTGCCAGATCGTTGCACTGAGCGACCCTTGAGCATGTAACATGGCACAGCTACCATCGGCTCATTTTGGTCTCATAAAAACTTTGCTCGCCTACATATGCGGGAGGTCTCGCCACAAGGTTGGAATAAAGAAAGAGAGCGACAAGCTCAAGGGAAAAGGCTGTGCATGCAGCCTTCGACTTCCTGACGGCTAGGCAGTGTCTGGAGGCTACAGTCAATGAGAGTGGGGCGCGGTGATCGCATTGCGACTATGAAGACTTTCACCAACAGCTGACTATGACTTCAGATTCATGGTAGTTGTATAGGAGGTATGCTAAGAGCGGCCTGAAACCGGTGCACACACGGAGGTCAGATGAGCCCATCTAAGCCGGAGCCCCCGCTGCTTTGCCGGCATATACCGGTGCTGGCTAGATGTGTCTGAGGCCAGAGTGGAGAGGGCTGAAGCTAGGCTGAATGAGGCGTTTCCTGTGATCCTGCGGACACGAGGATGTCTTCCCAGCAGTTTGCGCTAGGCTTGTGCGTGGGTGCGTGCCCCTCCTTGTCGTTGGAATCGACCTTGTAGAACTTCAACACCGCGAGCTTCACCTCACTTGGGAGTCATAAGTTTTTAAGTCTTCTGAGCAATTCGTTTAATCCATCCGGTCTTCTGCACCTTCTTCCTCTTGTGCTTGATCTTCTTCGGCTTGGTGTAGGTCTTCTTCTTGCGCCTCACATGTTTCTGGATGACAAAATGCCAGCTACTGCTTGCTTCTACTTGGTGTTACTGCCGCTCTAGGATGGTATGAGTTCTGGCTGAAGCCGCAAAAAGCCGAAGAATAGCATCGTCAGTTTGGAGTTCTGCGTGGGCCTAAGCATGTTGCCAATGTCGCAAACATGTCTCATTGCTCCGGCGAGACACAGTGTCAGTGTAGAAGCAAGCAGAAGGCCCAAGTTAGACACACGCCTCCTAGTAGCACTGGAAGCATCCAAACACTCCGAAGCCAAAGACTTCGAGCGATGGACATGGGGGGCTTCCTCCCCAGAGTCGGACGGTCGAGCAGGAAGGGACCCGTCTCCGCGCTTGAGATGAGACTTCTACGAATCTTCGGACGGTGCAAGGGCCTAGGCCTAGGAGCCCAAAGGCACCCCTCGCACTTTGCTCGAACTCCCAGAACCCCCAAAAGAGCCATGTCCTACGCATTGAAATCTCAATCTGGCCGAGGTTCTTCTTGCCACCACCACCTGAGGTCAAAGATTCAGTGGTCTCTAAAGCCTGATCAGCTCGATGCGGGTCAGACCCTTCAAACTGATTTGAGCATGCCTTTTCTTTTCAAGGTGTTCGTAGGTTTCTGAAACTGTCAGGTATACCGCTCTGCCCCTCGAATCAGCTCTGCTCGAGCTCTGCGAACTTCTCGTTTAGATAAGAGCATGTCCTCTACTGTTCTCTGGCTAGTTTCCCCAAATCAGCTATCAACTTCCTAAGCAGCCCGACAGACTCCAAAACCTTGCTGGACACCTTCGATCCGAGAGTGTTCCTGTCTATGTGTGTATATACATATAAAAACGTATATATATATATATATACATACATACATATATATATATATATATATATATATAAGACAGAGGGAGAGAGAGAGAGAGAGAGAGAGAGAGAGAGAGAGAGAGAGAGAGAGAGAGAGAGAGAGAGAGAGAGAGAGAGAGAGAGAGAGAGAGAGAGAGAGAGAGAGAGAGAGAGTTTGTGTGTGTGTGTGTGTGCGCAAGAGAAACTGGTAGTATGCACATGCACATCCTTTAGATAGAAACCTGCAGTCGTGCATGCATGACAACATGCATACGCACTTCTGATTAAAAAGAAGCTTCTATATACGACTGGACGAATGCTTGGACTCGACATTATGACTTGTGTTCAAGTGCATCATATGTTCCCCTGCTGCTGCCATGTGGAGAGGCATTGGCATGCCAGGCAAGTGGCACAGTTCGGCGGACAGGAAGAGCGTCGAATCCTCCTCGACGCCGCCTTTGACGAACGTGATGATGCTTGGGGCGATATAGTATTCCATCTTGCATGTGGTTTTGCTTCGTGAATTCGTCTTGGAAGTTTCGGGAGCAGGTCCGATCAAGCAATGCAGAAAGGGCGAAGCGGGGTTTGCGCTGCTGGCATTCTACATGGGACAGCCTGATACACACAAACACACACCCACGCACAGAGAGATTCTTTGTCACAGGAGCCAGCAAGAGCTCGGGGAGGACGTATGAGAGACATTGTCTTGCATATCGGGATGATGTGGCCAAGGTATGGCACGTCCGCAAGCAAAGGCTCGCGTACAAACTGTGCCAATGCCTCTGTGTAAAGCCTCAAAGCAAAGAGCTGATGGTGTCTGCGGTCGAGCAGCACTCGGACAGCAGCACTTCATCTGACAGCGATGAGCCACCAAATAGGAGCGAGAGCCTCATTGAAGCAAGTGCTGGACTAGGAGGAGCTTCGAAGATACTGCGGGCTCCACCGGCGCGTTGCTGGCTTGGAAACCTCCTGGTTAATGTTACGGCTTAGGATTTAGGGCCGCTCCTTTAAGGGTTCCTTTTCTCCGAAAGTCTCAACCCTCAACGAAGGTCCAACAGGTTCGAGCTGAGCGCCGCGCTCCTCAGCGGCTGCCCCGGCAACCTGGGCCTTCGACACAAGGGCATCCGCAAAGTACAGGCTGATAGATAGCGCTTCGGGCAGTCTCTTGCAAAGAATCTCCCCATTGCTGGTAGGCAGAGCCAAATTAGTAGCTCTGGCGTTTGAGTTGAACACTTCTCGCTCGTCCTGTGCATCTGTAGGGTTTCAAGCGTTGCCTGCAAAAGCACGCCGTTCTTCAGCCTGAGGTTTGGAGCTACTGACTTGGCTTCTGAAGGCAAAGACTCGGCCTTCAGTGCCCCAGCATTGGCGTCAGGGCTGCACTCCACCAGTCGAGTGTCGCCGACAACATCGCGCACGAAGACACGCATGGCCTGGGTCGTACAGATCTTTACAGCCTCGAAACTGCCTTCATCCTGGGATCCCGCTCCTTCTCCCTAGCAAGGTACAGAACAGAAGATTGCGTTTCTGACTGGGGTCAGGGATGCTTTGCTTCATCCTCGCATACTACAACCCCGCAACGCACCCCTCCCAAGGATCTGAAACTATCTCAGGAAGACTTGGACTCCCTCCTCTATGCAGATATGGCGTGAACTGTGCATGGTCTCTTCGCGTGTACCATCCTCGTGAGCCTCCGTGAAAGTTAAGGCAACAACCTCGGATCGCTTTACTCCTTGATGCAGCTGAAGAGCTACCACAGCCTCTGCCCGACTCAAGCGGCAACCGCTGGAATGTTGAGCCACCAGAGAGCGAGATGCCAAATGCGAACATGCCAGCATGCTTAGATTGGAGTAGGGTAGGCTCGTAAAGCACGTCCTTCGCCCAAACCGGCACTAATTTGTGAAATCAATCGGCTCTGGCTCCTGCGCTGCGATTTTCAACAGATCGGCTCTTCCGGGGCGCATGGAGGTTTCTTGCCTAGGAAGCCTGCAGGAAGGAGCTAGATCGTCGGCTGAAAAGAGGATTCTAGCGTCAACAAAAGATACATGCCAGGCACCGTCCGATCGCACAGGCCTAGATCCTGAATAGATTGGCCTTTGGACATAAAATCTTGCTACCCAGGCCCAACATTCACCCTGTGTCAACCCTGCATCTGCAGTTCTACCACTACTGCTGCTGCTGCTACTACTACTACTACGACTACTACTGCTGCTACTCCTAATGAGAACAGAGCTTCCATGCCAAAAACCTAATTACATCCATGGTCTACTGTGTTTGAGAACAGAGCGCAAAACCTAATGACATTGATGGTACTGTGTTGGAGAACAGAGGGGAAAAACCTGATGATGTCCATGGTCTAGTGTGTTTGAGAACAGACCATTCAAGCCAAAAACCCAATGACAGCCATGGTCGGGCGTCGCACCAGAGCCGCGTGGGGTATAGTAGTAGTAGTAGTAGTAGTAGTAGTAGTAGTAGTAGTAGTAGTAGTAGTAGTAGTAGTAGTAGTAGTAGTAGTAGTAGTAGTAGTAGTAGTAGTAGTAGTAGTAGTAGTAGTAGTAGTAGTAGTAGTAGTAGTAGTAGTAGTAGTAGTAGTAGTAGTAGTAGTAGTAGTAGTAGTAGTAGTAGTAGTAGTAGTAGTAGTAGTAGTAGTAGTAGTAGTAGTAGTAGTAGTAAGTAGTAGTAGTAGTAGTAGTAAGAAGAAGAAGTAGTAGTAGTAGTAGTCGTAGTAGTAGTAGTAGTAGTAGTGTTGTCGTAGGATAGCAGTAGTAGCAGTAGTAGTAGCAGTAGTAGTAGTAGTAGTAGTAGTAGTAGTAGTAGTAGTAATAGTAATAGTAATAGTAATAGTAGTAGTAGTAGTAGTAGTAGTAGTAGTAGTAGTAGTAGTAGCAGTAGTAGTAGTTGTTGTTGTAGGAGTAGTAGCAGGACAACGGATGTAATTAGGTTTTTGGCATGCGGGCTCTGTTCTGAAACACAGTAGACCATGGATATCATTAGATTGGTAGCATGGGTGCTTTGCTCCCAAACAGAAAAGTGCGGTAAACAGCAGCATTTGTGGCATCAGATGAATATGCAGAACACGGAAATTAGACAACAAAAGCCCTCATTCTGACAGCTAGGTTTTGGGCACGAACATCGAGACCTCGAAAAACCTGCAAAAACATGAAACTCATGAACATCTCAAAGACTAGCGCTGTCAATACCCGCAGTTTTGGCTACGGGATTGAGGAGCAAAATTTACAAACAACATCAAAACCTATGCAAAAATCAGCGCCTTCGACAATTTCAAGAACGATTGAGAAAAAAAGGCTGCGAACCGCTGCATTTCTGAAAACACGAAGGCTGAAAAATGATAGCTCCTGGCCTCGCACCGGGGGCGCCTGCCCTACTACTACTACTACTACTACTACTACTACTACTACTGCTACTACTACTGCTACTACTGCTCCTGCTGCTGCTGCTGCTCCTGTTGCGACTGCCGACAGAACGAATGCACCACTGCTGTCAAAGGGGTGGCCAGTGAATGAACAGTCACCCATTCGACCGGGCTACTTTAAAAGGTTTCTAGGAAGCCCTATGAAAGGGGCAGTGACAAGGGCGGTAGGGTTATATTGCGCAATAATTCTGAGGGGGACTACAGAAATGCCATTACCTTGTGTCCCGGCCTCAGTTGGATCTTGTTTAGGTGTTCCGGGTTCGAAATAACTGTGGGCATCAACGACCTTTCTGCAGGCTGTGCACATGGCGTCTCCTGTGGAGATCTTGCAAACAGGAGCCTGCAGTTGCTCGACTTACTTTGCTACACAGCGATTCAGCTTCCCAAGCCTTGACTACAGCATCACTACACCCGATGTCGTAACTATGCAACCGGCAGGGTCCGTTAAAGAAAAGAGCGGATGCTCCTGTACTTAGCCTCACGCTATCTGTTGGACACAAAAACTTGGAAAGGGTGCCTGCAACCGGGCTAGCTGGTGTCAACACTCAGCCGTGGATATGCAAGAATGAGCATCGTTGGAGCTCTAGGGCACATCACACATACAAAGCTGAGTCGGCCCAAGCTTATGCGTGGCATTGAGCATTCTGAGCGCAGTGCAGGATGTAGGCAGCTAAGCCCTGCAGATCACCAGCGTCACACATAATGCTTGCCTCGCACACATAAGCTGTGCCCTTCTCGGGTTTTGCAGCCCAAACATGCTGTCAAGAAACTTTGCCTGCTACCGCAGGCCTTCGAACGATAAATGCAAGCTGATGCAGGTCGGAATAGACTGTTGCGAAGCTGCAGCAGAACACGAGAAGGTCACGGCTCATGTCAACGCGAGGCCCAAGCACACGGCTTGCTGCAGAATGCATTCGCATTTTCGCTGTACCGATTGAAATTCAGAGCAAGAGAGGCAAGCTGAAGTTTTAACAGTGGGCAAAGGAGTCTCGCCATGCCCGCCCACAACTCTTGACATAAACGCCACTTACTTTCTTATCTCGACACAATCCTCGCTCAAGCATTCGAACATTAATCTGTTGCCATGTCAATAAATATGAGCCGGGGTCAGGCTTCGGTTTCGATTCCCCGAGCTACATCATCCACCCGTACAGGTGAACATCCTTGAATTAGGCCGTCCCTGAGCTCTCGTTGGCGACGTCGTCTGCCTCGCGCCGAGATTCTGCATGTAGCATGCAAAGTACAGCCCCTCTGATACAACTTAGAGTTTTGCACGGCCTACACAGGTTCCAAGGCAAATCAACAGCCCGAGCAGACTCCGTTTCGGGCTGAACTGGTTGCAAGGCTTCGTGAAAGGGACGCAGCATCGATCCTTGAAGGCCACATCAAAAACATCGTCGAAATGAGTTGCGAAGTGGACCTGAAGCGGCAGTTTGAAGACAGCCGCCGCACATGTCGCTGCTCCATAAGATGAAGCGGAACACAGGCCTTCGTGGGGAGCTGCTTTTGCTTGATCATGAAACATTGCTGCCGCTCTTGGCGATCCGCATGGCCTCGTAGCTGGGTCTCCCGACTGTTAAGCCATCGCGTAAGTAATCTGGAAGCTCCTCGAAGTCCCGCCCTTAGTGAGTCGAGGGACAGTTCACACTTAGAAAAACCGTGTCTATCGACAAGCATACACTGCAGTACTGCGGATTCGGGGATTGTCGATACGGGTATGCAGTGTGAGCCCGGAAGTCTGTCCACCGGCACTACAGTAGTAGACTGCCGAACATCCTCGAACCTCACGGGTAAGGTTCGTCACTCAGAACCTTTCACACTCGTCAGGTCTTTCAAGTTATGTGTAAACATAGCGAAGACTCGAGGCATCATGCAGCATGCCAGTAGCTGGCGCGGGGTTTAGCAGGACAAAACTACACCCATCAACCCAATGAACAGTGCATCTCCTGATCTCGTAACTATATCACGCTTGAAGTCTGCAATTGCCTTTGGCTTCCCATGACATGCAGGGGATGAAAGGTTAGCCACAAGGGGCCTTATCCGGGCTTTCTAAACTTCGAGAGCTGCAGGCGGCATTTCGGACGCTCAGGCTTCACTGGGAGCCCCTGCGGTTTGCCTGAGGGAAGACAAGGGTCTTGCAGCCCGCGCGACGGGCTGCAATAGTCTTCTCCTGCTCTTTGCGATGAAAGCCCTTGTTGTTGAGGTTGTGGCTCAGTGGTGGTTCCCACACCCTGAACCCAAACTTGTTGCAGTGCAGTTTCGAAGGCCACGCTTGCGGGAAACACCTAGTCACAGGACAGGCTTGGTCAACTGTGTCTTTCGGCACAGAGCCTGAGCTGAAGGTCTCGGGAAACATGCAGCCCAGCTTGTCTAAGTCTTATTTGGCACAGGATCTCTGCCATGTTCCTGACATCTCGGACCTTCGTACTCTGTGGAAGGGCACTCGGGTCGGCCGCACGGTAAGGCGGAACAGGCTCATGCCAGATGTCCTTAATGCCGCCGACCGCTAAGACTTTGCCGTTCAATGAAACCTGTCCAGCGAAGTCCGAGGCTTCGGAGACAGGGTCGGACAGCTAGGAGCTAGTGCAAAGACCTCCACACTCAGAATACGGTTTGTCGGGTGTGTGTGTATATATATATATATATATATATATATATATATTTACAGATAACATGTATAAGGACAACCGAATTTAGGAACTGTGACTTTGCTAGGTAGAAGGTGAGTGGGAAGCGAATAGAAATTGAAAGGTAAAAGCTGACTCGACCGCTCGAGCTTGAACCGATCTTATGCTGGCAATGCATTCGAGGTGAACTAAGTCGAAGGCTTCAGCAACGACACAACAACAGGCCCCACCAAAGCGCACGACCTTCCACTCACAGTACCACATGGATCGATTGTTGTTTTCTAGAATTCTACAAGTACACTATCTGTGCTCGTCTAAGGACCCTGGAGTTTGTCGGGTTTCTGCCTCGCCGGTCATTGCAAGGTCAGTCGCGATGGGCTTCCTTTCAGAAAGGCAATATCCGTCTCGAAGACGGAACCGACTGCATCAAAACGTTACATGTATTCTTTCAGCCTTCTTGAGTGTGGCAGATAGGCATCCTGCAGATTCTTATTCATCCAAGCTCTAAAGACGTCCCTATGAACCTGGTCTGGGTGTATAAGTAGAACGCTTGGACATAGCGTCTCCCAGATGAGCCCGAAAAGTCGAAATGCTCGGTGCTCCCTTCTCACAGACTGAGCTGGCATCACAGATGACCGGCAAAGCTTGTCCAAGAACAGGCAGGGTTCTCGAGCGCCAGGGACAGAAGGGCCGTGGTCATCGTGACTCCAGCCTCAACGTTCCATGCAAGAGCTACAATGATGAGCTTGAGGCTGTGAACGCTACATTTCAACACATGCCCTTCCTCGACTCGAGTGAACAACCCCTTGTGGGCCACTCCACAAAGCCTGTAAAGTGCAGGTGTCAGCAAGACGAACCGCAATAGTGGCAGATGTTCCTGGGCAGCGTGCAGATGGGCCGTCTTTGGGCGTGGCACCCTCTGGACAATGGAGGAAGAGCTCATGGTCCTGCAGGGTTCCGCTTCCCGTGGAGACCGGAGTGAAAAGCTACGCAACTACAACCAGTGGGAGCATGTGCATAAGTCGTTACTCGGAGTCAACAAATCGATTGCACAATCATCCTGCAGCTGCCCCACCCTCATGTCCGGCTACAGTGCCAAATCAATCCTCGAAGAAGGACCCAGCACCGCGCGCGGCGAGCTGCCGCCGTGCCACGAGAAGAGCGATGGAGGAGGATTCCTGCCAGACTCTCACAAGATGGTCTCGGAACACGGGTTTGGCAAAAAGCCCTGTCCAGCTCAAAAGCAACTTCTTCTTGCCTTCATCACGCTGCCGAGCTGGCCAGTCACGGCCAGTGCCGGCGGAGCTTTCGGGGCCCCTTCAGCCGTGGCACTGCGGCGGGGCAGAGCTGTCGCTTCCTGGGATGTCGTCTTCGTCATTTTACTCTCCTATTAGTAAAAGAACACCTGGAAAAGACAACTGAACAACCAACATGCCAAGCTTCGATATACAGCACCGATCCTCCGAGTGCAGTCCAAGCGAGTCCTTCGAGTTGCATATCGAGCTGGAAAAAAATTGATGCACTTTCGAGTTTGATTCAGTGGGGGCCACAGTGACATCTGTAGATTGCGCATGGAAACGAGGAAGTTCTCCACGCAGCTGCTCTGGTGTATAATCCGTTTACTTGGCAGCATTCATGATGGCAACACTGAAGTACACAATAATCGTTA